GTAACAATAACCATTTAAATGCTGAATTATAACATAAACAAAAGTGATGTCAAAGTATGGGAAAATATTTGAGAGATGACACTCGTGAATGTGGAATAAATGGCGATATCATGAAGAACGTGTTGTGATTGTGTTACTAAATGAACTCGTAATGAGTTTATTTAGTGATACAATTNCTAGTAAACAATTCGCTGTGATATCTATCATCAAATGCGTATGAATGAGTGAATTGGCGAATAAGAAAGAGTAAATTTGCCATAGCAAACATTTCATCACAGTCAGAATTATGCATAGACTAAAATTCGAGAAGATTAATGGAATAGAGATTGATAGGATGACCAATGAGCTCTATAGGACTGGTCAGATGACATGCATATACGAATGAGGATATGTCGTTGGCATTAACGAGTTTCGGTTCTATTTACGCTAACTATGAACTGAATGACCCTCATTGACCAATAACTCTTAGCTGGATAAGTTTTCTCTCGATACAAATCTACATATTTCTATTCATAACGTTTCATCAAGGAAACTTACTCGTTTGCTTAAGCACGTGGTGTATCGATTGATAAACACTCAGAGGACGATCATTTTCGAGATTCGAAATTGGAAATTCTTTATTCTTTTAGATGATTATATAATTTTGTCTTAATGAAAAGAATTAGTTGTATTCGGTTTATCTCGTCTGTGAAAGGGTTTGATGAGGAGCATTACTGCATCAATACAGTTCCACCAACACATATTTATGCTTGTGTTTGCAATTAAACTAATCCACGTCCCCGCGGAATAGTAGTACATCTTTACGAATATTGATTTATATGTTGTTGTAACAATGGAAGTTTCAGATGTTGTTTACTTTTCGGCAATTTGGTATTGTAGATCACGAAATGTGTGTTTTGTTAAATATCATTGCTACTGATTGAGGTGAAGATATCCTGAAAATGCTATCTGTAAATAAGTTGAGTATTGATAAGGTCCAAAATTATGGTATTGTTGAATATACGAATAAGAACAACCATTTATATTGCATTGTAATGTCAGCTGTGAAAATAATGACTGGGATGTTGCAGGCGATTAATTCATTTTGATTCAAGTAACTCATTCAGTACCTCATTTATGTGAAACAAGCTTGTTCTGATTTTCGAAAACAATATATTCTCATTAATAAATTTTATTCGTGGATTGGTGGATAAAGTTATTGGAGTCGCCTTGAACATTGAATTTTCTTATCGAAAATGAGCCATGTTCTGGTGTAAGATCGCCGATAACTTATGACGAAGCACAGAAGGATCACAAGATTGTTTTATTTGAATGAATATACAGTTGAATACTGCGTGATATGAAATGATAATACAGAATAGTCCATGTTAGGATTGTAATAACTTGAATTTAAACATTGAGTTGAAGGGAAATTTTATTGCATAAGTAATTTAAAGTTTTCATTTATAGTTTACGTAGCGCAGGAAACTGGATGTTTTCTAGATAGTTTATGAGTGGTTCCATTGACTCGTCGTAGAACGCGTCCAATGCTTTTCGATCGCTTTCCGTCATTTCCGACAGAATCTTATTGATGTTACGATCAGATTCAGCTGGCGTAATATCCATATTATTGATGATAGCACATATTTGATGAGCTGCTTTTTTAGCTGCTTCAGTCATGTTGGATTTGTCGATCTGACCATCGATTTTCTCGAATGCCTCTTTCGTTTGAGCAATTTCATCGGTAATTATTTTCTGTAAATACGTGAAATTATCAACCTCATGACATAATAAATTTTAGTGCTTCTATCATCAGTGGTGTAA